CGCCGACGGCCAGAAAGGCCCGCGCATCTACATTTTCCCGCCTGACCCCATCAGTGCCGACCCAACTCCACCACCACACGCACGCCTCGCGGCGGATGCGCAGCAGCAAGAAGGTTTCGGTCATCCCTTGAGGGTGAGTCTAGCCCTGCTCGCCAGAAAGACCCCCCCCTTCACTACAACCCATGTCTAAGCAAAAGCTTGTCGAGGAGCGAGGGGAAGAAGGGAGGTGTGAACAGGACATATCTATGGATTCATCGGTCAGTTTTTCAATCGGCGGATTCTAACCCACCAAACACTCTAAAAACAAGTGATTTTCGGCCCTTTTCGCCTGCTGCCACGAACGTGAGCGACTTCAACGCAAATCGCCACCGATGAAATCGTAGCTCTCCTTCTCAGCAAGACGACGCAACAAGCCACGCTAGAATCCATTGCGTCATCGTCGCGCAAAACGAATCCCCAGATCGGGTACTGATCGGGTACTCATGGGTACGTCTGGGAAGGAAAAATCGCCGGACTCAAGGAAAAAACGACGGCAAAAGTTCTCGAGACAAAACGAGATATGTGTCGAAAAACATGGTATGACGATCGAGGCCAGGGCGCCGCAAGCCAGGTTTGACGGGCTCGTGCAGAAGGCAGACGTCAAGGAGTTAGTTGACACGGAGCCGCGACGCCGCAAAGGCGAAGAAAGCTGACGCCACCCGCGTACAAAAGAACAAGGCGAATGCGGCAAAGAGAAAAGCGGAGAGAGTAGCAGCAGAAGAAAAAGAAGCAGCAGCAGCAGAAAAAGTTGAAGCAAGCAGGCAGCGAGAGCTACGCCAGGCAGCAGCACAAGCCGCAGAGGCTGAGCGCGAGAGCAGAGTGAGGGCGGAGAAGGAGCTGGCGAAGGAGCGCAGGGAAGTCGAGCGCTTGACGGAGAAGCTGTCGCTCTTGGCGGTTGAGAAAAGCGAGCTGGATATGAAATATCGGCAAGCAGGAGGGCGGAACGCAGCAAGAGGCCGTGGCGGAAACGCGGGAAGAGGCCGTGGCAGAAACGCGGAGAGAGGACGCGGCAGGAACACAGAGAGAGGACGCAGCAGCGCAAGAGGAAGGGGGGGGGCAGGGCGAGCTGGTAGGGGGCGGGGTGGTAGGCAGTCGCCTTAGGTTCGTGGGCGCGGGCGGGGGCAAAGCGAGCGCGGTGGTGGCCGGAGCACTTGGGATGATGTGCGAGAGTTTTTGTTTTTTTCGTGCGTGTGTTTTTTTTGCTGCTGCAGCTGCTGCTGCTGCTGCTACTTTTTTTCGGTGAAACGATTTTCGTGCCACGATCGTGCCACGGCGCAAAGGCTGTACCGCCAGCACTACTACAGCATTTTCTGTCGTTGCTGCGCCATCAGTAGCTCTGGCTTATGTACTTGCTGCGCGGTTCCTCTTCGGCCTCAGGCAGGCGAGGAAAGGTTGCAAGCGTGGGCAGTTCCCTTAACGGTGTGTTGTGTCAAATCAACTTTTTTGTTGGTGTTGAATAAAATGTGCCTCTGCCATCATCCATCAACTTCGGCGTTTTTTTCGTCATCGCCTACATTTGTGTCACGGCGCAAAGGCTCTACCGCCGGCGGTACTGCAGCTCTTTCTATCGTTACTGCGCCATAAGTAGCTCTGTATTGTACGCTAGCTGCGCATTACCTATTCGACCACGTGCAAGGAAAGAAAGGTTGCGAGCGCGGGCAGTTCCTTTTGGATGTTGTGTTGCTTCAAACAAGTTTTTTTTCGTGGTGATTCAAAAAAATATGGCTGCCTTCATCCATCTATTTCGGATCTCTTTTCGGCGTCGCCAACATTTGCCCCACGGCGCACAGGCTGTATCGCCGGCGCTACTGCAGCTCTTCCTGTCGTTGCTGCGCCATTAGTAGCTCTGGCTTATGCACGTGCTGCGCAATACCTCTTCGACCTCGTGTACGGTAGGAAAGGTCGCGAGCGCGGGCAGTGCCTTTTGGGTGTTGTTTTCAACGACTTTTTTTTTTCGTGTTGATTCAAAAATTCATCTGCCTTCATCCATCGCGTGTACACGAATGAGAGGGTTGTCGAGCATGCAGAGTGCCTCTGACCAGTAGTCCATGAACGGCGTGCCAAGCAGCTGCTGGGCGGCCCACTTGGAATGCAACCATCTAACCTCCTCCCATCGATCCTCAAGCACTTCTGCCCCCTCCCAGACGACCATCCATCGCGTTTCGGCCGGCCTGATGAACTTGCTCTTCCACCAGACGCCTCTCACCCCATCATACACAAGACGCTGAAATCGTTTCCACGAAATGCAAGAGGAGTCGGACTTGCTCGTGTTGTACCAGATAGATCCGAGCAGTGCCACGAGGTGCTGCTGTTCCCACTCGTGCCAGGAACCTTTGCCATGAGGGCCCATGAAGTAGTTACACTCCATCCCCGCGTTGATGGAGAAGTGTAGCACGTGAAGCAGGCAGCCGAGGCGGATAGCGAAAAGAGGTGGAAGGTCGCCACTCTCCTCCAACNTCCCATTCGGAACTGCAAGGTCCAAAATGAGTTCGGGAAGAGTGGGAAGCGTAGGCGCGTTCTGCGCATCTTCGGCGCCATCGGCCATGATTTGTGGCGCCGGTCAGCAGCGGGGATGTCGCAGATCTAGTTTGATCACGAGGGATCACACGCATCAACCCCACCGCCGTGTGTTGTCCGTGTGTTTGTTGTTGTTTGCGCATCCATGCCCCGCTCAAAAAAAAATGAAAAAATGCAAGCCATCGCAGCACATGTTCAGTCTGTTCGCCCTAGAAATGGACGCCGCTGTCAAAATTGGCCGGCTTTGATTGGCTTGGCAACGAAAAATAAAAGAAAAAAGTCTATTCGAAAGAACCTCCGCGTGACAGAATTTGGGCTCAAAAACAGGGTCAGGTCCAAGGCTGTAGTACCGCAAGACAGTTAGACAGTCGTCAATGCACTCCAGACCCGGTGCAATGCATGNTGCCGCACCAGCCCGTGAGGCTAGCTATGCACCCACACCTCGGCCGTGATACACACTACCATGGCGAGCCAGCTACAGTACCGCAAGACAGTTAGACAGTCGTCACTGCACGCCAGACCCGGTGCAATGCATGCTGCCGATATGGTGCATTTGCGCCCTTTGAACCGCAGCATACCGTTCTACATGCTCTTCTTGAGTGACACACCAAGTCGGCGTGACGAGGATGACGGCGATGCTGCGAGCAGCATAGATCTTAGGAGTGCTGCACAAGGCGGAGGCGGAGGTGACGGGGTTAGGGATGCTTCAAGCGGCGTGGGAGCGTGAGGAGCTGCTGCGCGTGCGTCCTGTGGACCGTGCTCCGGTGATGCGTCTGTCGCGGACGATCGACTCCGTTGATGACTACGACGCGTATCACTAAACCGCGGGGCAGCGGTAGTCGGAGGAGGAGGTCCTTGGCCTTCGTGCTGTGTGTTCACCGAAACTCTGGCGAGGGGAGCGGCCCTTGCCGGAGGACTCGTGTTGCCATGAACACCCGGCAACTGAACCGGGCCAGCCTTCTCATGCGGACGTTGACCTCCATCGTTCTCCATGATTGTTTAGCAGCGGTTGTGAGTGTAATGTGGTGGTAGCCTTGCGGTGGGGGTGGAGGCGGAAGGGCTGATNCTCGTGTTGCCATGAACACCCGGCAACTGAACCGGGCCAGCCTTCTCATGCGGACGTTGACCTCCATCGTTCTCCATGATTGTTTAGCAGCGGTTGTGAGTGTAATGTGGTGGTAGCCTTGCGGTGGGGGTGGAGGCGGAAGGGCTGATGAAGGTTGTGCCGAGCGGGACCAAGTCTGCTGCCGAAAAGAGCCGAAAAGGGGGCTCCGCCGTAGTAAAATATTGCGTTCCTGGAAGTTTCTGCGTGATCACGACCACAAAATTTCACTCGCATCTTCGCAACCTGTTTTCGAAATCAAATTTTGATCTCGTCTCGAACTTCCTGGCAACTTCGAAGATGAAATCCCAACACCAGTCCGCAAGCACCCTAATGAAAAATCAATTTAGACTAGACTATTTGTGAATGCCACCTCAGACTGTCGCAAATTGTGACGTCAGATGACGTGTCGGAGATCTACCTTCGGGGTGTTACCACAGATAGAGTCAGTGCAGGTTGGATGCTGAACCTTGCTTCAACACAAGGTTGATCCCCACCTGCCTCACACACACACTCGACTCAACGTTCCGTACATCAGCCTCTCCACCAGAGGTTGATCCGGTGTGTATCCACACCGCCCATCCCTAAGGGAACTTGCTCACACGCGAACCTGGAGACAACAGTCTCGTAGTAGTGGCGTCAGCGGCGTTACGTGTGTTTGTTGAGTTCTTGGTGCGGTGGTGGCACTACCTTGCGGCAGTTGCCATCATGGGTAACAGAAAAAAACCGAGTAGGAAACAAGAGGTCCACTTCCAGGAAGAGGAGGAGGACCAACAGCAGCTTGCTCACACGCGAACCTGGAGACAACAGAGTCTCATATATTTAGTAGTCTAATCGATCAGATTTTTCTCTTTTTCCCCTGCAGGCTTGGGTAGGCAGTGGAAGCGTGGAAGTCAGGAAGCCAGGTTGCACGTATGAATGCGCCCCCAAGGATGCAAGAACGTGAAAACAACACTCACCTAGTAGCCTAGAGAGGTCGAAATGAAATTCAAATCCACGAAGTAGTCTACAAGGTAAACGTGGTATATACGAAGCTTAGGGAGGTGCATGTCTAAACAATAACATGGTACTGCTGTAGTCTAGACTACAAAGTATTTCGGATCTTCATCTTCACTTGGTTTTAGACTCCCCTCCCTCCCGGCCCGCATTAACTGAAGGTGTAGGTACCGGCAGCACGTGTTGAAATGTTTACGTATTTCTTCGTGTGTGTGCACCCTGAAGCACCATAGCTATTACGTGTAGTCTATGTCTTTGGACCAACTGCTGACACGCTTCAGTTCGCGCAGGGTCGCCACGGAAAAATTATTACTCAACGTGTTACTGCAATCGTATCCACGTGGCTACAGCGTTGTTAGTAAACTTGATCGACTTCATAAGTCGCGAGGGAAGGGATTGCTGTAACCCTTCCCGCGATAAAACTATCTCAGGCAGGAACCGCAGGAGGGGGTCCAGCCCCCCCTCCTATGTGACCCCGGTTGGGTCGTCTAGCTAGTAGAAGTGGAGGATAGGGGCCAGAGGGGTAGACGACAGAACCCAATGATGGAAGAAAAAAAAAGTACGAAGAATAAAAAAATGAGCATTTGACGAAAAAAACATCCAACCGCCATCACAATCGCTCATGCGTACCGACTCACGGTTCGGGCAAACAGGCTAATGCCCTTGATCTATGTAAAGTCAATAGCCCACTATTAGACACCTATCTATGTACCTTCCGTCGCGTGCGACTACTGTGGCAGGGACGGCTGGACGAACTCTCCCGCGGGAACAAATGTCGGTCACGATACGCAACATGCGTACGATGATGACGGTGCGTTCGTCTCACGTCCTCGGTTCCCTTCTGGGGCTTCTCTACGGGACAACCATGTCTGCTGGCTTCACCTTCGGCGGTAGCTACGGGGGCTACGGGGGCTCAGGGATTACCTTCACGAGCAGCATCGGTAGCTGCTTGGTATCTTCTCTGGCAAGTTTGTTGTTGCAAAATAATTTCGCGTTGGTGCTTGATACAATGTATTGATGGGTAGTTGGTTGCTTTCCCCGCAGAGAACTAGAACGAGCCTCAAGAAAAATATGTGGCTTTTCGTGGTGGTGTGTGTTGTGGGTCTCAATTGGCATGGCATGGAACGGTAGAACTTCGGGTAGACAAAATAGTGGTGGTGCCCTGAAGTTCTATTGTCCTCGATGCCGATCAATTTGCTTGGGTGGTGCTTTTTGTTGGCTGATATCATGCACCAGGAACTGCCGATGCACCATAGTCTAGCCATCTCAAGATCAGAATCTTTTCTTCAGTGCGTGTTTCTCGTGTGTTGTTTTCTCCAACTCGCTCGTCTGACGCTGGGGTTCTCTGTCTCTAACGGTTTCGCTCCTCTTTTTCCAATCATTCCAGGGGGATGGGCTGTGCGACAGTGCCAACAACAATTCAGAATGCGAATATGACTTCGGCGATTGTTGCTGCTGCACCTGCGCGGGTACCTCTTGCGGGGTAGGTTCAACTGAACGACAGACGGCGACCTTTTCCAGGCTGATATTTTGAATATGTTTCTCGGAGTAGAGTAAAATCACGGGCGGGTTAATCACGTTAGGAAATAGGAAACATTGAAATTTGTTTATCCTCGAGTCATCATCTGCGAAGAGAAGGAGGATTGCTTTCCATTTTTTTAATTGACGGCGCTCGTTGTACAGGTTACTGGCCCAGCCGGGTCCACCAACGGCCGATCTCCAGCAGAAGCTGCCATTCGCCTCGCAACTTGGTGCCGATGTAAAAACAACCAGGGCCCAGAAAGCCGTCCACGACACTTGCATGGCCTATCCGGGGCTTGATGGCATGCATAAATTTCGGACTGGCCACTGCTCAATATTGCTTCTGTTTGAGAGCTGGGCACAAGAACACGATGCGTCGTTTGGGCAGCGTGCAAATTTAGCAGACTTGCTCCCCTTTGCTACCGGATCTGTTTGGCCCACAATCGCAACGGAATCAACCGAAGTAGTCAACCAAGAAATTGCGGTTGGTCACCCGCTCCATTGCAGTGGCGTAATCTCCCTGGCCCGTGTTCTTTCCGTTTTGTCTACGCCCTCACTCCCCTCGCAGGCTTTTGGGTATTCGTGCGTCGATCCTTACGGTGGGACATGCCCACCCTCATATTGCGAGGACTTTGACTCGGACGGTAAGCATGCTAATGCATGACTCATGTCGCACCGCTCAGTCGTTTGGCACCCATAGTCTGTTTGGCGGATCAGTCGACAACATTCCACTTCTCGCAACGATGCGTCGTCTCTATTGGATGACCTCTCAGGAACATGTTCAAATTCGACCTTGGTGGTAAACAACGAATGCGTATGCATGTGTACAGGTAGCTTGAATGCCAAAGGATTACGACATCGTGTATACCGCCCTGCGAGGGGTATAATGTAGTTGTCGCACAGTGCGAGACGCACGAGATGTGCCGGGTGCGTTTTATCATTTGAGGCCCAAATTCCTGTGCAGCGGTTGGGGCGTGTCGTAGAATCTGATGGCCGCAAAGCGTTCAACCAGCTGGCACGCCCGATGAACTGACCGGGAGTTGTATATGGGGCCAGAGCCTTGAACCTTGTGATTGAGGAGCATGCTGCGTCCGGCGGACCCCAGACAAAGTGTCTGACTGATACTGCACACTTCAGCACACAACGTTACCTTCGTTATCCCTGACCTCCACCTCGGCGCTCCCTCTGATACGTCGACATCAATGCCCTTTTTGTTGTCACCTGCCCTTTTCACGTCAGATGGAGGCATCACGTTTGACAGCAGCGACCCTTCACCGACGCCTGCTCCGGTTTCGCCCCCTATCGATCCCGTCACGCCTTCCCCTGTGACTCCGGCCACCGACGCCCCAGTGACCCCGCCTACGGACCCCGTCACGCCTTCCCCTGTGACTCCGGCCACCGACGCCCCCCTTACGCCGCCTACCGACCCCGTCACGCCTTCCCCGGTGACTCCCGCTACCCCCGGCCCCGTTACTCCTTCCCCCGTAACACCGCTTAACACCCCCGCAGTCACTCCTTCCCCGATGACTGCGCCTACTGGCACCCCCATCATCATTTCCCCCTCTACTGATGCCCCGGTGTCGGCGGGGACACCGGCTACCCCCGCTCCGAGCTCGGGCCCGACCGCTGGTGGTGATGCCACCACGGCTTCTCCTTCCTCGGTGGGAGACGGAGCTAGAGAGATCACCGCTGACGACGACGCGGCCGGCGGGGATGATGAAGCAACCGACAACGCTGAGGCGGAGGTAGCGAGTGCGGCGGTGGGGAAGTTCCCCGGCAAGTGGCCCGTCGCGAGCGGGCTTTTCGTGGCGTTTGGCGCGTCAGTGGTCGCGTCATGCACGGGGCTCACCTTCTCTATGGCAGTCTGATGCGTTGGTTGTCGTCATGGCTGAAGAACAGGACACAGCCCGCATGGACAAGAGGAACGACCTCCTGCCGACTATCCTTAGCGTGAGACGTATTGTAGCTCAACAGATAATATTTCCCGATGCAGTGAATAGCTGGGGTGGTCCGCCTAAAGAGTGTTGTATGTCGTTCAGAGTACTTTTGTCTGAGGTCAACCACCGGCAACGCTTTACAATGCCCGGATGGCGGATGGTTTGCGCTCATGTAGTAGGTAGTAGCCAAGCTCAATGTACCCGGTCTGTGTTCACCGACTGCAGCAAAAGCTTGTAGCATACGGTAGGTTGTGAGCGAGAGTGGAGTAGGCATCGTTGCACGGTACCGGCCAGCAGCGTAGCACCTAACGCGAGTGTGATGTGGTAGATAGAGTACAGGCCCGACGCTGTGAGACAAATATCACGGTAGCCTTGCTTAGTTGTGTGGTTATTGGCAGCCCCCAATACAGGTCGTTGAGCTTTGGGGGGGTGCAGAACGTTTGATGTCACTGCCTCGAGCTGTTGGCCGTGAGTTCCCCCAAGACTTGTGCAGCTGTTTGGAGCATTATTGACGTCATTCAAGCCAATCGACGGTGGTATTGGCGAGTTGGGGTGTAGAAAGGAACAGGCACGCCGGAAGGGCAAATCGCAACAGCGACGAGCCGGCGATGAGGGTCGTACCGTACTTAGGGACCGCTTCACGGGCCCATTTCGAAGGGGTGGGGTTTCTTTCGCCCATTACTTTCCATAAAGGGGTGATATGAAGTAGTCCTTGGGGGAGGTAGGCAACTTGTGTCCGGAACCATACGCATGCAAATCAGTGGGGGGGGGTTGGTTATATCTGTCACAGTTTTGCGTTTATGCTGAAGGAAAAGTCTGCCTTGTAGGGAAGCAAGAGGAAGTTTCTCGGTGCTGGGAAAATAAGAGTTGGGGAAAGTAAGAAATCGATGCAGTGTTCTCGGTATCTCAGAGGTAGTGGCATATTTAGTGGTATTTAAGGGTGCAGCTCATATTGGCTGTGTCAAAATGGTTTTGAAACTTGACCGAAGTTGGTGTTTCCTACGGGCGACCGTGGAAGAGGCGGGGCCGTGACACTACCGTTGGTCCCCCTCCGTGTTTGTGAGGCGAGAGTGCCCCTGTGATGGTTCGGGTGCCTACATAACTTGATTCCCTTCCACTCCAGTGGCCCTGTCAACCAGACAACTTTCCTCTTAGTTTTGCCTGTGGGGTTCCCCACAATATTCCGCTGGAAAAGCGTTCAGAGTCGCACTGCTTCGCTCCGTACAAGCATGCACCTCTAGGCCAATAACACATGGAAAGGCGCCGTTTTCCCCCGACGACTAGCCCCAGGCAAAATGTCAAGCCGATTCCAAGTCGTCTCCTGGGTCGAACTATCGCTTGTTGGCGAAACGTTGACAAGAGAAAATTGTTCCTGGCACGGCCGACCGTGATGTCGAACCAAATAAGCCCGTCCTCAAGATAGTAACAGTCCGGTCTCCTTCTGATACCTCGGCAGGTTTGGAGGTTGTCTCAAGCCTCGTCAAGTTCCGTTGACCTCCAATCGTGGGCTTTTTCCAGGCACGAAAATCCAATCGTGGGCTTTATCCGGGCACACATTGTTCAGTGAACAAGTTGGGATGAGTGTTGATTTGACGGATCTGGCATCGCTCGCTCGTTGATGTTGTCTGTACGTCCGGTGTAGCGGGTCTCCTCGTTCCCTCGGCAACGCCGTCGTTCTCGCGACACCACCATGAGAACCAACGGTGGAACGGTGGAAAATGCTTCGCTGAAGAACATGAGCGAGGCACAGTTCTGCGGTGCCAGAGCACCGTGCTCGAGAATAACAGTTTCATATGTAGTCCTCGTGGAGAATCGCAGTCTCCAGAAAACGTCCGGTGAGGGCATTCATGCCGAGCGTGTACAGCGCCTCCAGCTCGACCTTTGATCCTGCACCAGAACGACGCATTCCATAAAAAATCCAGAACGAGGCATTCGAAAAAATGATTGTTGGAAGGCACCTCTCGTGAGAGAATAGTCGGTGTTGTTGTCGTTGTTGCCGTCTTCACGAGCAATGCTCGGGCATATCGGTATTTGTGTCCTCTTCCGCCCTCTTCACACCAAAGGAGCGTAATTCCACGGTCGAAGCATCGCGTTAAAGAAGGCATGCAAACGAAAATTTCTAACGATTCCCTCTGAGAAAGCCGCGGGGGACGCCTATAAGCATGCCGGGGGGTCATGATCAAAGCTTTTTATACGTCGGTCCGCCGGCGGTAGTATCGTTTGGGTGGTTACCGCTACCGTGGAGGCAAGGGTTGTCACACGGGTAATCGATTGGCCTGGCATGATATTTGATAAGGGATAAACGATGACAGAAAGTACAGCCTCAGAGGGAAAAGTTGTATCAGACAGAGAAAAAGGGTAGTTTCGGACAAACGGACACGAACGTACATTGATTGCTCTAACGCCAAGCTGAGCCAAACGATACGAACAGTACCCCTGCCAATCAAATGTCTGGGGAGCTTCCCCTCACACCCCTACCCCTTGCCTGGGTTTTCGGTGTCGAGCCAGTACTCTGCCTCCTCCCCATACGTATCGGGGTTGTCTGTGACAAGCGTAGAGTTGGCGACGGATTGCGCCCTGGCGAGGTCTTGCTGAGAGAGCGTCTGGTGCACCTGGCGGAGAGACGAAACAGTTTCGAAAGAGCGAAGAATGCGGGGCTCGCAGATACCGTGTGCTCAAAAGACCAAGAGCTTGCCTCGGTTTCAATCGCCCGCGGCAGCCTGACAAAAGGAGGAAGGGTGGGCTTTGTTGCTCTCTCAAAAGATACTTTACACCTCAAATCCAGGATTGTCATTAATGGAGTTCGGGAGACGCAACCTCTGCCCTTTACTCGGCCATTGCTCTTGGATGATGGTGCCGGATCGACCATCAGAAGGCAGAACATGCTCTACAAAGCATGAATTGCCGTAGCACCTTGAAGACCTGTTATTATTTTTTTGCTCGCCTCCTCCGGAAGGTCCAGATCGTCAAGCTGGGAAGGGCGCAGACCCACCCACTTCATTTCGGGCACCCTGAACTTGGCGGAGCCCCGTCCCTGCTTCGATGAGCCCTCCTTGTACTGGAGAAAGACGCTGAGCCCTAGAAAAGTGCGGGAGCCGTCATCGCAATGCATGGTAGTTCGCGAAAGGCAGGAGACACACGTGACTAGTCTATGTGCCCATGTTTCGAGCTCCGGGATGAAACCCTTGCACAGCATTCATCGCGCGTGGCTTCAAGCACCGAAACACGCAGCTTTGGATATACTCTAATCTGGCAAGTTGTTGACGTCTCGTGGCAAGAGTCCACAAAGCGAAGGGGACGCAAAAACATAATTGTTTGAGGAAATACCACATAGAACCGGAGTGACGACCTCATTGGGAGTTTTTGGCCGGGTTCCTCACTGAATCTAGAAGATGTCGACTGGATACTTTTCGCCCCTTGACGCACATGACTACGCGAGGGTTGTTCGTGAACCCTTCGTTGATCTCACCAAACGGGTTGCAGTCGACCAGACCAAGCACCGGCAAGTCCAAGGCCTCGGCCAGCCTGTAGACGCACGCTCGAACCGCCAAAGGCGGGAACCCTTGCCCGGTGACTAGGACACTCGGAATCCTGCGAAGAAAATGGAGCGGGGAAACGTGCGCCTTCTTTGGCAAGAACATGATTCGGGAGCAAAGGAACAGCTCGTCAACGCTTCAAAGCGACTCTATTCTCGGAACGCTTGCGGACATTTGGCACTGCCTATATCGCGGCAGCATCATCCATGGTCGACAAGGGTTGCTCCGTCTATAGACCGTGCATTCGTCTCCTCGCCCACAATGTAGCCCGATGTTTGTGGAGCAGTTGCGACTTGAATTGCCTGTCGCAAAATCCGTCCTCAACCATGCGGTTGAAAACCCCGTCTTTCTCAACGACGAGGATGATACGAGCGTCGGACTTGAGCTCCAGGGGACGCGTTAGCCAGTCGGAAGTGATCGCCAAACCCGATGACCCGCCAGTGGATCTAGGGTCTTGCCAGTCCTGGAACCCCTGCCCGTTGCAAGTCGAAACAATTGCGGGCCACAACGGAAAATGACAGTTTGACGGGGTCACCATCATTGTCGTCATCGTGGAACGGTCCATGTTTCGGTGGCATGATCTTGACGATCGCCATGATGAACTACAGCGAAATGAGATACTCCCCGGTTCTTCGAACGCGAGCCCAAGTCATGCTGACATGAGGCATAAAAACAATACAAATGTCGACGAGACGGATTGCTGTACTGCTCTTTCCGAGGTAAATCGAGACCAAGACCGAAACCAGCTGCCCTCAGCCACGTCAGATCGAGGGTCTTCCACACAGCGGCAGGTACCCGATCGGCGTGCTGCAGGTTAAACTACCCTACACATGAGCATGATAAAGACGAGGTGGAAAACCTTGGAGAATCATCTCTTGTTGGCAAGTAATTCTCGAGTACGCCAGTCGTGGCGTGCCTCTTGATCCTCTAGGGGCAAACCCTACCACCGTAGCTTGAAGCGGTCACTTGCAGCTTCTCGACCAGAATATAACCCCTCATTTGTTTCGGGGGGGCAGCCAGTGTTCACCTCGCCGCGAACGGATATGCGTCCCGCCAGGTAACCCCTGGAGCTCGCGACAATGCCAAGGCAGTGGCGCGGCTCGCCGAGCAAGCTGCAGCAGTCTAGGATGGCGTCGTTGCACTTCGTCTGTCCGTTCGACAGAAAGATAATAACCAACAAAGGTGCGGGGCGTACTCACATACGTGAGGACAGTAGAACCCACCAGGTCTTCCTCTGATACCCATCCCTTCGAACGAGGTGGTGATCTCTCGAACGAGTAGTTTTTCGTTGATGGTATGCACAGTTTTCAAGCGGTGGCGAAATGTATCTTATCTGCTTCTGTACCTGACGAACCATTGCAGTGTATGATTCAGGTGTTTATTGGTGCAACTTCCTCCAGATAGAAGGGTTTCTACAAAACTGCTTACACAATGCCCTGCTTCAAAGGTGATGGGAAACGAGGGATACCTTCATATATTGTGCGCGTGTTTTACGGCCCTCCCGGGGCAAGTGCAAGTTTCCCCCCAGTATTCTGGGCTGAACCCCCAGTATTCTGGGCTGGACTTGGGTAGGAGGCGCGGAGGGCAAATAGGATGTCGGTACATTCGCCCGCTGTTTCAGATCCGATATTTCGAATGTCGATGGGTTTGGCGTGGTCAGTACCAAGAATGGGCACGTTTTGCCTTGGCAGTGATCCTACCATCTCCAAGAGTACTCATTTAACAACAATTGCCTAGGGCCCGTGCAGGACAGGGGAACGCAACGCCAACAACCTCGCATACGAGAGGGAACATGGAAAGGAAGGCGGGGGATGTATGTTTTTCTTTTTGGTTGCCGCCCCCCCCCCCAGGGAAAATCAATAATGTATTTTAGTTCCGGGGTGCGCGCGAGGGGAAACGGGGGCCGGGAGGAGAAAGTAGATTTCCGCCGATTTTCAGCATGCACGCGAGGGAGGACGGGGGCGGGGCGGAGGATGCCGAAATATCGAATTCCCCGCATCGGTAAAGGGTTTTTGAGAGGGTGGGGTATTCGATGAGCATATTTTTCTGACCCATTCGACCGGGTGTTTCACATCGAGGAGCAACCTATGTAGTGATGGGCGACTCCACCCGTCTCCCGAAGCATTCCCGTTGATCCGACGGTTCAGGTGACACACTTCGTCCCTAGCGAATCAGAAGCACAGCGCGGTTACCTCTCATCACGACTCTATTCGTGGGTGGGAGGTAACGTGGGGGTTTCGCGGTCTGTTGAAAAACTTTGCTGCGTTGGTTGAGCCTAGTGCACGCGGAAGGGAACTAAAAAATTGAGATGTCGAGAGGAACTCAAACATTAGAGATTTTTCCGCGCTGTCCTGATCGCGCTGCACACCATGTACACGTTGCAGCCGCCATGGCATCATTCTGCGTGGTAGCGCATCACCTGATTTGCAAAGTGCTTGACGAAGGTGTAGTAGATCTCACGCTGGGTGGCCGTCTTGCGTGTCTCGAGCAACCTCATGGAGAAGCTCATGACGCACAGAATACTGAGAATGATATTAGTAAATAAGGCGCACGAGACGAGCAAAGGGTGCGACCCGTCGTTTTGCGGATTGTTGTGGGAATCCGTTCGGACCAAACCCGGCCGACTGGTGCGGGAAATGCCATTCAATGACGTCTGTGATTGAATCATGGGAAATTCGAGGGGTTATGTTTGCGGAGAAGGTTTGTCAGCCGTTGTTGGAGACACATCAAGCTATTTCCGGGCGTCTCCGACGAAGGGGTGCACTGCATGGGCCTCATAAAGGTTCTCCAACATATATCTCGAAACGTCCAAAACTAGACTGTTTTACGTTTGGAAAACTTTCAGAGCTTAAATCTCGTGCCGGCCGTTGGTTTTTGGTGATACGTTCACTGTTGGAGAATATGGTCGAATATAGCTCTGATATATCTGTGCGGACAACTAGCCCTACCTGAGTCATTGGCACGCAGAACAATTATCTGGTTCTGGCTAGCCTTTTGCTCGTGACAGAAAGTTTGAAGTGCATACCTCGCATAGCTTACGCAGGTATTAATTGACCTCGCAATTTCGCTCTCGCCCGCGCCCTGCCTTGGCAGCACCAGCCGTTTCGCCAACGACCTGGAGGTTGGCAGCGATAGAACAGAGGCCGCTCCCTTGGAGCAGCCGGCTCAATTGTTTCTGGGTCACCGTTCAGAACCCCGCCTTAGACACGCGTTTGATACCGGGCGTTGTGCCCGAAATCCGAAATTTCATCCAGTTTCAATTTGGGGGATGTTACCCGATCTCTCCTCACGCAAGTCGCTTCGGCGCACGAACTTCCGGAACGGCTGTGTGTCCATAGCCCATCTTTAAACGGCGTGCTCATTCACCATAGACTATGCAACTAAGCTCAGACTTTACCGGGTTCAGCCCGCCACAACTCGTTTGCCACTTGACCAAGCTCAGGGGTTGTCGTGCTTGACGCGTCTTGCACAACCCTTCATTCATGTTGCTAGATACAATTTTCAATCATCCCCGTGCATTGCACATTGTAAACGGCAATCGGGGTAGATTGAGCATATCGCGGCCGAGACTAAAACCAAACTAGTCCGAAAGAGTACGCACTGGTTCGTCTCACTTGCCGTGATTTGTCAAAGCCCAGCACCCCCGGACTGTCATCGTCGTCGTCGTCCTCAAGGCTGTCGTCGTTGTCTTTGGTACTTCTGTTCCAGCACACGCCGACAACAGATCCAAAGAATTTAGGGAAGGAAGATCGAGGGTCGGAGGCATTGTTCACCTTGAAATCGCTCCCTGCTGTAAGCTAACACTCCCTTTGTTGACAACGGTATGCTTCAAACGATGTTGAAGTCTCTTCGACCAAGCGCATAGCTAGGCCAAGAAGTGATGGTCCCTCAAAAGCAGATGATTCACGTGTCCGCACACGATGTTCCAGGGCAGGAATGAATATCAACAGAACTCGGATGATCATACTTCAACACCTGGTGTGATGAGCGCACACGAGTGGTCGCTGCTCACGGTGCATTTTTTCGGTAGGGCTGAAGAGCCTGCTGACACATATCTGAGATCATGAGGCGCGATTTTTCACTTTCGCGTGGATTGCTCGAGGAAAACGAGCATATAATGCATTTCTGCGGGGGAAACTCTGTGATCTACATCTCAAGATTGGACCTCGGCAAGCTCTCCGCTGTGTAGTGCGACAATGCCAAAAGCCACATAGTGCAGGGCCCCCTATCGTCGAAGGCCCCAGGAAGATCGTTGCCAAGCGTTCATCGTGGCCGTTGCATCCAATACGCGAGACCCGTGATGAAGAAGTATATCGCATGTTGCGCGTACCACGCGTACCAGACTATCTCACTGCAGTATTCCATGCTTTGATATTCAAATCACCGCTATTCATATCACCGCGCAGAAATTTGCCATGTGCACGAGAACACTAACTCAGGACAAACAAGGACACATACCTCGGAACCCCAAACCCAACCGGGTCGCCCCTGCCCTTTCGAGAAAGTGCAAGGATCAACCTACGAGGTAACCTATCGATGATTTGGAAATGAACGTATGAATTCATCTCAGGTGGGAAAAGCAGCAACTCCGAAACCTCGGCTAATCTTGCAAGCACTTGCGCCATCGTCGACATTAGAGGGTAATGTGTGTGAGGTTGGCATTGGAGTACGCACTGCTCTTCGAAGGATGGGAGATCCCCACCGGCCAGCTGGTCCAGCCAGTCGACGACAAACGCCTGAATCTTGGCGAGCACGCGCTCCCGATCGTCGGATCGTACATCCAATGGACGAGAAAGCACCATCACGGACATGGTCGATCTACAGCAGAGGAAAGGTTGTAGGGGGAGGAGGTGGAGGTGCAGACAGGACGTGGAAACATGAGGGAGTGGAAGAAATGATCATGGTGTTCAAATGGAGTATTTTTGTCTTGGCCGCCTGATGGCATGCCCTCATTGCTAGCAAGAACATCTACATGACATGACTGGATCAGTCATTTCGCAAGGTACAGTCGTGCCTGAGATAAGACGGGAACGTTCATGGGAGAATGCAGTAGTACTTCATGCGTTCCACATACACGGGTGGTGGAACATACCCTTGACCCACTTTCAAACTTCACGTATTGGACTACCAAGAGGCTGCCAATGTCGAACATGATGTTGTTGGGAAACACTCGTTGGATCATTTTGTCCATCAAGATTCATAGGCTGTTCACTGTGGAGTGATCGAGCTGTGACCATCAACCTAACGTCGGTGTTCGCAATTCGCATGCGCACGAAGTTAGCATATGCGCAGGAAGAATAAATCGAAGTGAAACCCCAGCAATGAAACAACGATCCAAGCAATGCAATACTAATGTTGTTCTCAGGCTCGACGATGTGTCATGAACCGTGCCCGGGCGCTCTGACACACAACTCCGTTGAGATTGGTGTAGACATGCCAGCTGAGTTGAATACATCCACCTGGACGGAGCCCGTGCTCTGGCTGAACCAACGTCACTTCAAACGGGTGATGGATAGCACTTTAAGCCCGTGATGTGACGAGGTAAGTGACTTTCGCATACGTTCACCTGCACCGTGAGCAACTCCTTGAGGTCTCAATTATTCTGAATTATTACGTAACCTAGAGTCTATGAACTGCCACGTAGATGCAAACCAAAGACTATGGCGACTTTCATCTGTGTGCGTTATTCTGTTGATAGAGGGCTGAACGATCAAGAGGGTGGGAGGTCGTGTACCTGCCATGCCACTCCCTCCCCTACCCACTCCACAATTTCCAAGAAGACGGTGTTCGTATTTCATGAACCAGCTCTCACTCTTCTGCAGAGTATTGTTGCGATACTTGTCCATGCCGTACACTCTGAAGGGATGCGCGTGTCTGCGCGGGGGCGCTCGAATGTGTTGGTGATAAGTGTTGCTCAAGCAGATTTCATCGCAGAATGGGATGCTACAAGGCTTCGAACTCACACATTTGGACCGGCAGGAGAGAGACTGGACAAGGGCAAGTGAATATCCCGAAGCACCGATTGAATCTGCCTACGTACGGTCAATTGGAAACATTGAGGGAGGAGATGCGGTTCAACTGTGGTTGACATGGGTAAGAAGCTTCAACAGGATGATAGAGCTCGGCATCAGAGTGGAGTGCGTAATGGAGTCTGCGATGCCGCGTGGCACACACCTCCGAACAAGACCTCCGAACAAGACACGTCCGCCCGAGGCACAGTAGAACACAAGCACGAGCACCGAGGAGCCCTCTAGAAGCCAGCAGTATCGTGAGATGGTGGTGGTGGTGGACGTGTCGAGTTCGGAGACAGTAAGTGTGGGCGTACAGCAGTGCAGGTGTGCAAGGGGGTGACGCGGAGGGACAAATGAGTATATGCATGTCCTTCTGCCCCGATTTCCTCACGGGCCCCCCCGGTTCAAACTCTAAACGCTAAGCCGGTTGACTGCTGACAGCGACGAACGGTACGACAGGGGGCCAGGCTTTGACAGCACTGCTGGTCTGGAAGCAGCAGTTGCAGCTTGCTGGATTTCGTCAGACTCCTCTTCTCCCCGTGATTTCTCAATCGTGCCTTCCAGCAACAGACGGAGATTCGATGGATCGGTTCAAGCGCGGCAGTCAAGGTGTGTGGCAATGTGTGCCTTCCCTCCATGCTCGAGTGTGCTAGGTCAACGTTCTGGCAATTTCGTCTCTCTGTGGCCTTCCTCCCGTGCTTTCTCTCTCTCTCTCTCTCTCTCACACACACACACACACACGTCTTTTCATTGGTCAGCCGGTTGGTGCGGTCGATGGGAATAAACGCGACTCACACACACATAGACTACAAATTCCGCACTCGACGGGTTCGCCGGTACTGCGACGCCAAGCCTGAGATCAGCAATCGTCTATAAGCTGGTCGGCTTTTGCAAGCATCAATGCTCTAGTGCTTGGGTGGAAGACGGTTCCTGCTGAAGGCTCAACTACAGTCGCAGTCGGTACGAGACTCGGTGTAATCTGAAGTTCCGCCGCGTTTTGTACCTTTTCACAATTTCCTCATATGCAGCAGTCGTTGAGGTGTGTCGTGGCTTCACGATCATTACTAAAGTCACCCTTCTCCCTTCTCTGTCTCTGCAGGTGACCGATCCTCCTCGGCAACACCCAAAGCTGATGGGAGACTTCCACTCAGCTTTTCCTCGGAAGGCCCGGCCCCGAATTCTCGCTCTGAACCCCCTGTCACTCCAGGGTTTGGACCCGGTAGGCTCACAAACGCATTATTATAGAAAACATAAATTCAATTCCAGAAAGACTACCCACTCGACACGCATGATCGAGGTTTCCGATTTCAAAACGAGCGGAGCACGTGACCCCTATTGTGCCTTCATTGCCGTGCCTTCGTTGTGTTACAGCACGGAATGTTCGTGGTAAACATAGGGATGACAATTCTGCGGCATCCATCCGTGGTATGCGAACCAAAAATACTGCTGTATGGTGTCCATTGAACCACGTCGAATCTCATGTCTGTCTTGACTCTGCTGCTGGGTATTTGCAATCATCATACTATGCACGTAGCTAGGTATGTCGTTCGGCGTACTTGATGGCCTCACCTCTGTGGTGCTGGCCACGTTCCTCGTTCGTTTTCATCGCCGTTCTCTTGCTGCAAAAGCTACAGCGAGCGGCAGCAGTATGGCGAGTCAGACAACAGCTTCGTCTGAGCCCGAGCAGCAAGTCAGACCCGGATTCTTCAGTAGACATTTCTCCACCACCTCCGACGTGTCCGGGCCCTTTTCACCGGTGGACATAGGCACTGGAAGCGGAGGCGGCGGCGGTACCAGTATCTCACGAGCCCAGACCAAGATGTCAGCTGCTTTAACCCCACAGGCGGTCACTCCCTCTCCCCGCAGCGGTGCTGCAGCCTCCTCGTCCGTGGCCGACGGCAGTGGTGACGCCAACACGGACCAGGATTATTCATGCCCTTCTCGGGCGTACTTTAGCTCCTTCCCTGACTCGTCGAAACCACCGCCTTCTGTGAGCTCTACTGCACCTCGCGCTTCTTCTGACGCTCATGCCGCAACCATGTCCTCTGAGCCATCGAAGGGCGGTGCCAGTACTGGCAAGAGGCGCATGCTGCTAGATGTGGATGTGCCGTGCGGCAGCGGCAGCAGCAGGACTGTTGGAGCCAGCGGTGGTGGCCAACGTTCCTCTATTTCTCGAAGTCCAGTCGAGTCATCGTCACCATCGTCGCTCCAGTCGCCAGAGCCTCCCACTATCTCTGGTTCCACAGGCAAGGGGAAAGGAAAGCAGCGCGCCCCTCAGCAGCAACCGAAGAAGCGGGCCGCTTCGCAGCACAGTGACAGTGGCCAACACCCGGCGGCACAATGGTCAAGCGGTCATGGTCGTGTCAGGGAAGGCGATGAATCGCCTGCTGCAGGCGTTCGCAGTAGCGATGGAGTCTTGCCCCGAGTGGAACAAACCAAGGTTTGAATTCTTCCCCATTAGTGGTGTTGTCGAATGTTGTCTACAGTGCTGAAAATTTCGTAGCCATTACGATCGCCTGGGAAAACCTTCTCACAGGAACATTTCACTTTGTGCAGCGACAGGATGCTTCATAAATCATGCGCAAGTCTTTGCGTACAAGCCAGAAATGTCGGTTGAACGTTGTTCGAGTGAACTGCAACTCCTACCCCAGACGAGGCGGAGGACAAGCCGTTGAGTCGGCGGTCAAGCCACTGCTGTGTGAATGGATTTGACAATATTGACCTTTTCGGTTCACTCAGTTCTATTCACCATTCCTCATGTTGTGCTCTAGCGACCGCCTACTACGCCTGGCCGTCCTGCTCCGGGACGAGGACAGGCCGAGCCTGCCACTACTGCTGCCACTGCCACTGCGGCTGCGGCTGCTGCTGCCGCCGGCGCATTGAAGGGCAATCTCGGAGGGGGCTCGTCGCGCCGCACATCATCTTCTCCGAGCTGCCCACCGCTAGACGCCGTAATGGACGATCGTGATCCATTCGATGACCACGCCAAAGCTGAAGAGGCCGCCTCATCAAGTCTAGCGGTGACTTACGTGTCAGAGGTCGATGGATACTGTCGAAATTTGAAGCTCTTTTTTCGTCCGCGGATGAGCCATTCCGTTGTAAAGTCGTCGCAACTCACCTTTATCCCGGATATCATGTGTAGGGTGCCTGCGATATGATTGATGCCCGACGCTGTGCAGCCAGCTATGTCATCGTGTTCTCGCCACATTCACGTACCTTGCTTGTGAATCCCGAAATGTTCATCGATCCGCTCTCCGAATATTTCCCATGAGCTCGCTTGAAACCGTTTCATATATCACTACAATTCATACTTCTTCATACCCCTTCGAGCGACAGTCCATTGTGTGCGCTTTCTTCGCAAAGAACAGAAGGACAGTTGATTTCAATGGCCCTGCATAGTTGCTTATACAGAGTCTAATCAGCTGCGCACTGGTTTACTGTTCCAGGATAGTTGATATCCAGCGTTTGGCCTTTCGTCATCGCGCCTTTGGCTTAGCCCCGTTCATTGTTTCGACTCATTCCAGGAAAGCATCGAGAACGTCATGAAGCGCCAGTTGACACTTCGAGAGGGCTTCGCTTGCGTTCACTCTCAGCTGCTGCAGGTGCATCTCGAACTCGACATCAACTGCTTTGGCCCAGTGTAGTGTCTATTGCTTCAGGAATGAATGTTAGTGCCGGCAGATCGAAGAGTTAGCTGTGCACGACCGAAAAGGATGAGATTTTTTCACTGCAAATGTATCGAAACAACTAAGAATGTGTCCCCTCCACTGCAGTATCCCGTGGTACAACGACAGACCACATAGATGAAGAGCCGCAACGGCTGAATTGTGTAGCTGGCATGTGCACGTTAGGATTTGGCTCGACCAACATGAAGATAACTATTTGTTGAAGGCCTTGGGCCAACGCTGTACCTGCAAACCTTTTCCCACGCGAAGCAGAATATCGAAACATGACACTTCGTGAAGTTAAGTGTTTCATGCTGACATACCCAGCCTCCATTCCTTGAAAAGCTCGACGACGGTTTCAAGATGCTGGCCCAAGTGGACGAGCTGCTGGTCGATGCTCGCGCTCTCCTCAAGGATATGGGGATCGGACCAGAATCAGCCGAGCAAACAGAGGCGATGGACGAAGATCCTGCGGGTTACCAAGAGGAGAGCCGAGCGGTCCTAGAGCAGGGTGGCCACGACCCTCTTCTGTTTCTTCCTCAAGGCTCACTACCGCCACTGGCGACGCGGGATGGCAACAACGACAACAACGATGGCGATATTGCTCCGAGCTTGTCCACGGGTGTCGTCAGCCAGCCACCGGCAAGTACCGCCAGGGTAGAAGGGGAAGATGGAGGAGGAGAAGGAAACAACGACATGGACATCGCCTCTACTGAATAGGAGCTAGTGAGGCGAGCGAAACAACTGGCCAAGCGGACAATATTTTAGAAATGCCAGCCCAAGTGAAGCTTGTCATCGGAAACATTCTGACTGCTGTACCTACCTTGCACAGCATTGGCATGCGGGATATTAGGCCATATCGTAAGTGAAACCCCTGCGTCCGGACCTTTCGGCAGCTACGACCACTATGCATGGCGTCTACCACGATAGCCCAAAACCTGTTGTTATGGTTTTGAGAATATCCCATCCCCCTTCAATGTGTGCATACATCCTCGGCAGTTGGATTGCAGAGGAGTAAAAAAGTCGCCATGGGATACCCGTTCCTTTCACGAAACCATCCATGCAGAACAGTACGGCGATGCTAAAAAACCGTGCCTACGCACGAAAGTTTGACTTGGCGGGAAGCAGCAAGGTGAACGCACCCATGCATTGCAGAGGTCATGAAGAACTTGTCTATGTGCAAAACGCGGTCTGCGTGTGCTGGCATTGCTATGCGGTGATGATTCAAAGAATGAAGATTGACTGCGTTGTGAGTGAAGATTCGGTGGCGGCAGTGGCGGACAGAGCCAACCTCGCTAGTGCGCAAGTTCGATATCGTCCCCTCTACTGTACCGTGGTCAAACTCGCCATCGAAAGGGCTTCATCAGGTCCCAGGGAAACGTCTTCACCCAATCATGGCATGACATTGTTTTAGCCTCGTTCACGCAGCATTTGGGCCTTGGGGGATGACTTGATCGATAAGGTGCCGCGTACAACGACATTTCACTGATGGCGGGCAAAAAGTTGGCAAGGGCAGAGAATCTTATCGGTAATGTCAGAACCCGCCAGGGATAGAGACGGCAGGGCGATCACAAAAAGGGCCATTCAAGAGAGTGCTGAACCCGCCACACCAGAGCACCCATTGCTTTATCCGCCTAATGGTATCATATTACGCCGGGTTTGAAGACGTGACCTGTCAGTCAGCTTCCACGAGCACCACCAATGGGAGGCAGCGTGTGGCAATGGCGGGAGGCGGCATTGCTCTAGGTGCACGCAGCAATGCATGCAGTTGCTCTCGTGCTGGCTAAAAACAAATGCTTGGATTCAGGCGCCAAGCTCATAACAAGCATTCTTGTGTCAACATCGTACACGGAAAAAACAAAGGGGATCACAAACAAGTTGTTAACATACAAACTCCGTAGATGGCGTTTCGCTCCCCTAACCAAACGATTTGCCTCTCGAAGGGTCTGTTGTCCAAACGGACAATATCGTGCTTGTCTTCGGAGAGTTGCTTCAGAGCTCCCACGAATGTCGGCACTGGAGGCACTGGACGATGACTCGGACCTGCGCGCCAAATGTCGGAGGACGCGGCATTGGAAGGGGAGTGAGGGGGCACGACGGTGTTGGAAAGGAAAAATGGCGAAGGAAAAAAACGTGTGCAATGGAGCAGAGATGGGCACGCGGACGAAACAAAATATTGCCGTGTATGTACAAGGTAATAGTGTAGTGGCCGAGAACAAGAGAACAAGAGAGATCGAAACGTTATCATGTATCAGACTGAACGCTATACAAGCACCATGAAACGACGCCCATCCATGACGAACACTCAACACAAAACAGTCTGTCAAGCAACCCCTCGTTTTTTGCTTTCCTTTTGTCAAAACAACCATAGAAAGCGGAGAGTTGAGACAAAAACACTCACTCTGTCGACCACCGCCTTTCTCCTCCAAGTGCGATACTGCGTTTTCTCGTGCCCACACTCGACACAGGCGAAGCGATCGGTCACCGTGTGGAAGGGGCTGTCTCGGCTCGATGTAACCTTGTTTACAAAAAAAATGATTGATTCAGGGTGGGTAGAGGGGGGGGGGGGG